TGGCTGAGACATCCTGTCTGTGCCATCCCCAGGTCCAAGAAGGTCCTGGCAATCCTGGTCTGTTTGGAACATCTACTGTGAACAAGCACTGCGTTTTGTGGGGATCCAGCTCGGTGGGAGTGCTTGCTCAGTATGTGTGATGCCCGGGCTTTGATCCCGAGTACCACCCAAAAGAAGTACTGCATTGTCAAATGGGCTTGCCAGGCAGGCACTGAGCTATATCCCCGGCCCTACTGAGTTGATCTTGTAATGTTTGTGCTGCATTCTATTAATATAATGCAAAACATTACTTGATTTTCCGGTATTAAAATTTTACATTTTGAAATAAGTCTCATCTATACATGACATATAATCCTTTTTATGTGTCGTTCAATTCTTTTTGCATATATATTCTAAATTTTATTTATTTATTTAGAGACAAGGTCTCCCTAAGTCATTCAGGCTGGCTGTGAACTTTCAGTCCTCCTGCCTGAGCCTCCCAAGTAGCTACCTTTATAGGAAGGTGTCAGCAGATCCAGTGCCAATATTTTGTAGAGAATTTTAGCATGCCTATTAATGGAGGCTGTCTGCAGTTTCTTTGTTATGTCTTTCTCTGGCTTTGGTACTAGGTTAATATTGATCTCATAGAATGAGCTGGGAAATATTCTCTCTTCTGTTTTTTGGAAGAATTTATAAAGGATTCACATTAATACTTCAAGTATGTCATAGAATTTATTAGGAAAACAACCTGGGCCTGAGATTTCTTTTTCAGAAAAATTTTAAATTGTTAACTCAGTTTATGGGTATTTTCAGATATTCTGTTGTTGTTTCTTGAGTTGATTTTGACAATTTTTATCTATTTGAGAATTTTTCCATTTTACCTTAAGCTTCTTGATGTTGTTTATAATTTTTTTTTTTTGAGATTGGGTCTCACTATGTAGTTCAATCTAGTCTTGAACTCACTGTGTAGCCCAGGCTGGCCTCAAATTTGAGGTGATCCTCCTGCCTCAGCCTCCCGAGTGCTGGGATTACAGGCATGCAGCACCATGACTGGGTCTTTATAGTATTTTATTACAACCCTTTTGATTTCTGTAAGGACAGTAGCGATGTTCCTTTTTTATTCCTTGTTTTATTTTTTTCTTGGGTGTCCTAGCTAAATATTTGCCAATTTTGTTGATCTTTTCAAAGACCAACAGCCTCTTTTACTGATTTTCTCTGTAGTTGTTCTGCTTTTTGTTGTTGTTGTTATTGTTGTTTTGTTTGGTACTGGGGATCGAACTCAGGTCCTTGCGCTTGCACAGCAGGCGGTGAAACCACTGAGCTAAATCCCTGGCCCCGGTTTTGTTTTGTTTTGTTTTGAGACAGGGTCTTGCTGTGTAGTTCAGACTGGCCTGGAACTCGCAGCAATCTACCTGCCTCAGCCTCCTGAGTGCTGGGATTACAGGTGTGCAACAGTCTGCTGTTTTACCAATTTCTTTAACTTTTATTCTTTCCTTCCTTCTGCTTGCTTGGGTTCAGTTCACTCAACCATCCCCATCCTGTTTCTTAAAGTAGAAACACCCATTATGAGACCTTTCATCTTTTCTAATGTAAAAGTCTATAGCTATAGCATTGTGTTGGCTGCACCCTATAAATTTTGCTGTATTTATTTTCATTCCACTCAAAATATTTTTTCTTTTATGATTTGTCTTTGATCCCTGGATAATTTAGAAATGTATGCTTTAATTTCTGACGTATTTCTGGATTTTTCAAATCTTTTCTTTTCCCCCAGCACTGGGGATTGAACACAGGGCTACACCCCGAGCCCCAACCTTCTTATTTTTTAATATTGAGAAAGTCTTGCTAAATTGCCAGGCTGGGCTGAAACATTCAATCCTCCAGGCTCAGCCTCTCTAGTAGCTGAGGTTATAGGGATGCAACACCATGCCTGGCTTTATTTCAATCCATTGTAGTTAAAAATAGTTTGGTTGGGCATGATAGCACACACCTGTAATCCCAGCTACTTGGGAGGGCCAAGAAGGAGGATTGCGAGTCTGAGGGCAGCCTGGGCAACTTAGCAAGATGCTGCCTCAAAAAAAAGTAAATTAAATTTAAAAAGAGGTTGAGGATGTAGCTCAGTGCTTTCTGGGTTCAATTCCCCAGCACTGAAAAATATCCTGCAGAAACTGCATGATGTAAGCTCTTTAGGTTTATTTATACTCACCCAGGGCCTAGAATGTGGTCTGAGCTGGAGAATGCACAGCCTGTGTGGCTGGGAGGGGTCTCATCAAAGGCGCTATCCACTGGTCAAGCCTGCTTAATACTTGCTGATATTCTGCTTTGCTGTTCTACACATTACTGAGGGAGATGTTAGTTTGCAAATTGTGTTTCTCTCATCCAGTAAAATTCTGGTTTATGTGCGCGTGTGTGTGCGTGTATAGCGCCAGGGATTGAACACAGGACCTCTGCACTGAGCTACATTCCCAGACCTTTTTTATTTTGAGATAGGGTCTTGTTAACTAAGATGTCCAAGTTGGGCTCACACTTGTGGTCACCCTGCCTCAGCCTCCCAGAGTGCTGGAATTACACACTGGTTCATGTATTTTTTCAGTCTCCTTACGAGGTGTGTGTTTTAACTGTAGTTTTGAAAGAAATACGATACATGAGACGATACATGAGAGAGCTGGACTGGCATTACTGATCACTGATGAAATACACCTGAGAAGAACAGCATTAGAGGGGGGAAGTCAGTCACTCCCCCTCTTAATTCGGAAGGGGGCGCTCTGCTTTCTGCTACCAGGAAATAACCGGGAGAAGCCCAGTGCTACCTGCTCATTGCTCCCGGGGCTGACTTGTTTTTCCACTCAATTCCTTCGAGAACCTCACTGACTGAAATTCTGAACCTTCGGAGGGAAGGGTCGGTACTGGAATTTGTTCATCTGTCCAGTCTGACTTGGAGTTAGATGATTTTCAACTACAAGAAATTTCCATTATGCTCCTCCAAATTCTCTCCCTATTTTCTCTCTCCAGATTTTCCTCCTTATGAGCTCTCCTAATCCAACCCCCGGGACTCCAATGCCACCTTGTGGACCACAGTGAGCCGCACACTGGGGGAGACAGGAGACGGAGAGCCGTTGCCAGCTTCCAGAATCAATGCCCGCACTAGAGGAAGGTGCCGGGGCAGGTCAGGGAGGACTGAGAAGCACTGGAATAGACCTCCAACCCTTTCTTTCATTTTTGCAGGTCCAGGTTGAGATATTTCCACTACTTTGTTTCCAAAATAGCAATTGCTGTACTGGGGATTTAGATCAGTGGTTTTGCTGCCTGCTGCGCAAGCGCAAGGACCCGAGTTCGATCCCCGGTACCAAAAAAAAAAAAAAAAAGACAAAATAGCAATTGCTCTTTTTTTGGTACTGGGGATGGAACTCAGGACCTTGCTCTTGCGAGGCAGGCGGCGGCGCCACTGAGCTAAACCGCCGGCCCGCAAAAGCATCTTTTGATGATTTTATTTTTTTGAGACAGGGTTTCATTATGGAGTTCAGGCTGGCCTCAAACTCGCGGTGACCCTCTTGCCTCAGCCTCCAGAGTTTTGGGGTTACAGGAGTGCGCCACCATGCCCAGCTGCAATAGTAGTTTTTATTTCCCCAAGTTATCTATGGCTCTGCCTTGCAAACTGCTGAACAGATGCACTGTCTCCTTGAAACGCTCGGATTTTAACCCTACTCCTCGAGCTCCTGCACGGGGTGGCAGCCCCCGCCGTCTCCCCATCCTCTGCTCCAGCTGCCTGGCTTTGCTCACCCACAGGCTGTGGTTTCCTCCTGCTCAGGGCTACGAGGCTCCTCCGCGCCGCTGCTGTGCAGCTTTGCAGTTGTTTGCTGAGTCTCTGCCCTGAATGCAAGGGCTGCAGGAACTCAAGCGGTAGCAACACCTTACACTGGGCAGTCACCGAAGGCCATGGAGTCCCTCAGGCCCTGCACCTAATTTATCACGATAGTTGCTTACGTGATTATGGGACATAATAGACAGGGCTGGGACACAGGTCCAGGGTTCCCAGGCGGCTCTCGGAGTTCCGTGCCCCACACTGCAGTGGCGCTGCGCGCCGTTCCCGCCCTGCAGAGCTCTCCCTCAGGCCGCCCCTCCACACGAACACCCACCGCCCTTGACCCCACACCGTCTCGAGAAAACGACTCAAAGGTCGCCGATCTTCACTCCTGCAGACGGACACACGGAATAAACTCAGGAGGCCTGACTGACCCTCCCTGGCAGGTGCAGTTGCTGGGGAGCCCACGGGTGGCGGGGACCAGGGCCACCCTGGCGGGCCCGGGAAACCCTCGTGGTCCTGTCCAGCTTTCCGTCGGGGTCGCGACGCCATCGTCTCCCGGGCGACTCGGGCAGCGGCGTCTGCGGGCCTCGCTGGGTGGGCGCAGAGCTGTGCGTGGGAAGAGACCGCGGACGCCCCACAGGGACTAGGGAAGGGGCGGGGCGGGAGTCTGCGTGGATTCAGCGCAGCCCGACGTGGCGGGGTCTTGGGGACCGGGCGCAGAGCAGCGTGGTCGACTTGGATCTGCGGAAGGAGCCTGGGCGCGGTGGCAGACTCGGGGAGCACAGCATCCAGCCTGGTTCCTGAGCGGGCCCCGCACCTGCCTCGCCCGCCTGGCGGTCCTCCCCTAACCCGGGCGGCCCCGCCTACTCCGCACCACCACCCCGGTCAACCGCCGCGGGAGGGCGCGGAGCTCAGCACAGACGGCCCTGCAGCTGGGCCTGAGCCCGCGTCTCCCTCCGGACACAAGGAGGGGCGGAGAGCGTGCTGTAGGGCACCGACAGACACCCGACCAGATAACGCTGGACCAGCACGACCCATTCGCTTGAACCCAGGCACAAAGTCACGTGTGGTCAAGGCGCGGCGACGTTCAATACGTAGGCGATGTGCGTAGGAAACGTGTGCACCGTGCGCAGAGGGAGTGGGGCGCAGGCGCAGAGGGACGTGGAGAGCAAAGCGCGTGCGCAATGACTAGTGGAAGGAGGGGCGCATGAGCATTCGGGTGTAGGGCCATGGGCGGGGTGTGGACAGTACAGCGATGGCCGCCCCCGGTCCGCGTCGGACTGTGGCTTCCTGAAGCTGCAAGCGAGCGGGGTCTCGAAGGCCGGCCACGTCGCCATGTACCCCCCGCCGCCGCCGGCGCCTCACCGGGACTTCATCTCGGTGACGCTGAGCTTGGGCGAGAGCTACGATAACAGCAAGAGCCGGCGGCGGCGCTCGTGCTGGAGGGTGAGGGAGGGGCGATGCTTCGGCGTTCTCGGGGAGTGGGCGCTGGCGGGCCGCGGGTCTCCGGGTCCGACGGTCCTCGGAAGTCCCTGATGCCGCGCCGAGCCCTGCGCGCGGACCCGGGGTCCTTCAGTATAACGAGTAATGCGCTCCATTTAGTTACCTGCCGGGGTGTTCGCGGTAGTCCAGGCTGAAGGGCGCGGATGCAAATTAGGACAGATGCGGGGTCGGGAGGGTCGGCCAGGGGCAAGATCACAGGGATCGCAGGAGTCATTCTGCAGTGCCCAGGGAGCCAGGCAGAAAGGACTCTGCGTGCTCCTGTCGCTGCGTGGGAGCCGTGCGTCCTGCCGCCTGCAGTGCTGTCCAGCAGTTCAAACCCTGCTGACACTGAATTTCTCTGCACGAAGAACGGGTACAACCGACCCCTGGGTCTTTCTGAAGAACTCGCCGCCCTCCCTGAATCTGTGACAGAGAATGAGGTTCAGTTGTCACGTTTTGAGTAAGAAATGTCACTGTCTGACCTTTCCCTAGAAATGGAAGCAGCTGTCCCGATTACAGCGAAACGTGATTCTTTTCCTGTTGGCATTGTTGGTGCTCAGTGCTTTCCTGTCCTACAGCCACATGGCGGGCCAGTGGAAAGGTACCAGAAACACCAGTGGCACCCGAGAATACCTGGGCTAAGAGCAGGAGCAGTCACAAAGTCCACTGTTAACATCTCCGGGAAGCATATATGGCCACAAGGTGGCAGGAAACAAAAACGCAGGGGAGTAGGAGGAGGGAGCTGTGTGCAGCCACCTGGCTGTGGCACAGAGCTGTAGCTGGCAGCAGAAAACTGCTCTCTGGGAATCTAGTGTCAGCACCGCTATCCCTGACCTCTCTCCTTCAGAGAATGTCAGTCGTGAGCTTGAACACTGAGTCCTCACCATTCCAGTACTGCCTTAGCACCCAATGCCCTGCGTTGGGAAAGCCCAGCAGATTTCTGGGGGTGACAGCCTCTCCCAAGTTTCTCTAAGATGGTTGCCACTGGGGGAGAGCCACGGAGCTCTGCAGGTTATGCAGACAGATTGCCTGTTTGGCACCATGTTGTGCTCTCTGGAGCAGACTTGAGGGGAAGTGTATGTGTGGACACACTGCAAGGGCTTTGGAAAATATTTGATTCCTTCTGGCCATTCTCAAATCCAGTGACTTCTCAGAGGCCACCTGTGTAACCTTCTCGCAGAGAACAGCCTAAGCCTCCCCAGGGCTGGTGGCACTGTTGAAACAAAGGGTTCTCTCTGCCACTCTAGGTGCCAGCCCCACAGAAGGGCAGAGGCTGAGGGTGGAAATGACTGGACAGAAACCAGCAAACCCACCAGTCTTACCAGCTCCACAGAAGGCAGACATCAGCCCAGAGGATGTGGCCACCATGTTGCCTCAGGTACCTGCAATTAGCACTCTGAGTCTCGCCAGGCTCTGGTCCAGGGATTCTGGTTGGTACTGCTTCCCCTCACACTCCTTGTCCTGGGCTTGCTGCCTGAGCACTGGGGAGCAGAGAGGTATAGTCACCTGTTATCTGGACACCCACTGTGACTGGCTCCTGTGTTAGGTGCTTGCTGTATAGTGATGAAGACCTGACCTGTCTTGGGACCACGGGTGGGAGGAAAGTCAGTGAGAGGCCGGCAACACACGGAATTGGGTAGGCAGCATAAGCTGCGGGTGGTGAATGGAAAGGGCCGGAGGCAGGAGGCAGGAAGGGAGTGGGTGCTTCCGCTGGGGCAGCCCCTGAGGGTACCACCTGCAGGCTGAGAAGCCCGTTTGTGGTCAGGATGGGCAGAGCAGGACTAAGCCCCTGACACTACTCAAGCAAGGAGGAGCAGGAAATATGTTTCCGGAAGTGGAATTTCCCTAGGGCTGAGCCAGGGAGCAGGTGTCCGAGGAGCTGTGAGCGGCACGGAGGTGCCTCCTGAGGTGCCAGGAACCTGGCAGGCAGACGCATGTGTCGGCTTGAAGCCAGGTGGCGGGGTGGAGATGCAGTGCTGGGGCCTCAGGAGGCTGTGTACACCGTGGGGACCCAGGCAGTAGAAGGATGCTCCACAGGGCGGGGTGAGGGGAGATGGACAGAGGGTCCCTGGGCAGGAGAAGGGCTACGGGAAGGGTCTAGAGACACGGAGATGCTGCTGGGCTCTGCTCTGCTGGCAGTGCCTAGGGGGCAGTGGGGGCCATCTGTGAGCAGGCGGTGCCAGGGTCCCCAGTAGATGGTGCGTGTTGTCTAGCAAGAGTGGAGACGGGTTGTGGGCTGGGACATTCTGTGTCCCTGCCAGGCAGGGAACGTGTAGTCCAGAGATGGGACAGAGGCAGCGAGAGAGCCAGCAGTGTGCATGTCTGTGAGAGCGGGCTGGGGACGGAGCAGGGCCTCACCCAGGGCCTGGAGAGGGGGCTGGTGCCGAGCAAGGGGCTGCTGTGTACCCCTAGGCCTTTGGGTGTCAGTCACTACTGTCCACATGGGCCCAGTATGCCCCGATGTGGCCTCAGGGCTCCCCCTGGCGGCTGAGCCCTAGGTGCCCGGTGGAGGTTTCACATCCTGCTCTGTGCAGCTGGAGGAGGCTGCCTCCCAGAACGGCTCCCAGTCAGAGTGGCCCAGCCTCAGCTCACTGGCCAGGGTTCCAAGCATGGAGAGCTGATCGGTGACCTTGAGGCCACCATCACTTTAGGCGGAGTGTTGTGTTCTTTCTGCCTGAGCGATGCTGTTGTCTTCAGATTGCTGGATGTTCTACCTAGGTGACAGGAAGTGCAGAGCAGCAGGAGGAAGCTACGGGGCTGCCCAGCAAGCCCACGTCCTGCTGTGAGAAGTGACATCTGTGTAGCTGAGCAACGTCTGGTTGGCCCCAGGGTGGCAGAGGCTGGGGTTGGAAAGGCTAGGACAGTGCCAGCCCACAGCACATGGTGCTCAGGGTCAGCTGGGGCGCTGTGCACCACTGTGGATGGGAGAGCCTGTCTCAGATGAGGGTTTGTTTTCCCGGAGAACCTGACGGGTCCAGGGCCACTCTGAAGCACGTAGCACATTGATTCTACTTCTGTTTGGATCCATGTGTGTGTGCCCACATGAGGGTTTAGCATCTGTGTGGGTGTGTGTCTGGATTCTCGTTGCATATTGTAGTGTTCTATCAGGCATGTCTGATAGCTGGGTTTCTGGGCCATGAGTTACCATAATGTACATCGTTTGTCTCCTGAGGATTCCCTCCCCACTTAGAGGTAAGCCAAGGCTGGGGCTATGGGCCGGCTGCATGGGTGCCCTGAGAAAAGGGCAAGACTCCCCTCAGCCTGGTGGCAGCCCTGTCTCAGTGTAGAGGCAGGGGACCTTGCTCTGTGAGGACATCCTTGCTGTCCGGGATGGAGAGCCGTGTGGCTCCCTGCTGGCTTCCGGGCCAAGGCTGTGGGTCCTCCCATCCGTGGGGTCTTCGTCCCCACTGTTCTTCCTCCGCTCCAGGCTCTGTGGCAGTATTGAACTCTCCCATCCTGCCCTTTGTCCAGGCCCATCCCAGCCAGCTGGCACGGTCCACGCTCCTAAGGAGCTGGCCTCCCACCCCAGCGACCCTGGTTAAAGTGGAAGCTGTTCCCCAAGATCAGGGGTAACACGCAGGTCCTCGACCCTGTCCCGGAGTGGGGTGGAGGAGAGAGTCCTGGGTCTGATAAGAACCACCGGCTGTAGGCAGGTGAGGTGTTGTCATCTGTGGCTCTGATTTTTGTCCAGAAACCTCGAAAGCATATCCGGAGGGGACCCCCCCATCTGCAGATCAGAGCCCCCAACGCAGACTCCAAGGATGGTATGCAGGGTGAGGCTAAGGAGCAGGTGGCCGCCCCGGGGGACGCTCGCCAGGAAGAGCCGCCACATCACACAGTCATCAGGTACTGAGGGTGAGGTGCAAGGACCGCTCTGACTGCTCGGTGGTGGGCTGGCCTCGGGGCCTCCACAGACCTGGCATCTTGTCCCTGCCCTACTTCCCACTGGAGACAGAGCATGTTTTGTAAAATCGTCTTCTTTAAGATTTGATTACACAGTCACATTTCCTTTGCTTTTTGAGACAGGGTCTCACTATGCAGCTCAGGGTGGCCTTGAACTCCTGGCGCTCCTCCGGCCTCAGCCTCCCCAGTGCTAGGATCACAGGCGGGTTTCACCACGCTGGCAGGCAGTCACATTTCTGAGGCTGCAGGTCAGAGCCATTCCAGTCTGTGACTCCTGTTCCCGATGGGCACAGCTCTCTGAGAATGGGCCTCTGATGTGGTGGCCCAGGGGACAGGGCCGAGGATGGGAAAGAGGCTCAGGCCTTTCCCCTGTGGCAGGTGGCTGTGGGGTGAACGCCTGCTTGGCAGCCTCGCCCTCCTGTGCCCCTTCTGCCGGACAGTGAGCGGAGCTGGAGGGGCTGGGCACTGACCCCTGCCAGCCGGTCAGGTGTCCAGGACACAGTGTTCCACAGATGCCGCCAGAGGCTCCAGTCACATTTCCTGCTTGATGTTTCTTGAGAAGTCACGGCTGAGGCATAGGGCTGGGTTCCACCAGGGGGCTCTGTTCCTGAGCAGTGTCCCCAGTGGGCTGGGTCGGGCGGGGACTGCCCTGGGGGCCTCGGTCTGGGAGCGTGTGAGTGAGGGCATGGCCACATCCCTGGGCAGCCTCCTCCTCTCGGGATGGAAGGGGCAACTTCCAGAGGCAAGGGCACTTGGCCCCTGGAGCGCCACACCCCCTGCCCAAGACGTGAGCCCCGTGGGGTCAGGATGCATCTGGCTGAGCTGGGACTGAGCCGGCTTTTCAAGAGCCCCCGTGGCCCAGCCTCCCCTGGGGGTTCAGCAGCAAGGCCTCTGGCCCTGCTGTCTGCTGGTAGGGAACAGACCTGAGGCAGGGACCATGAGGGGCTTCCACGCTGGCTTCGGACAGTATCCAAAGTGGTCACAGATTAGAAGCCCTCATCTCAGGCTGTTGCTTTCCTCTGTGGTGTCACTTTTCCTGAGCCTCATGGTCCGGTCCTGGTGGTCCTTGTGCCCTGGTCTGTGACCTCAGGCCCCTCTGTGTCTGGAGCAGACGCCTTTGCTGGAGGGCCTCGAGACTGACTGACTTTGCGTTTCCCCAGCCATCTGTGGCTGTGGCACCTTTGGATTGGGACCCTGTGCCCACAGGGTTGGGGGTCCATGGAGGTGGGATTCCTGACAAGCTCCTCCTGTCCTGCAGCTGGCGGGGAGCAGTGATCGAGCCTGAGCAGGGCACTGAGCACCCTTCAAGAAGAGCAGCCGGCCCCACCATGCCCTCCGTGCCAGCTGTCAGGATGCAGAAGGACCCTGGTGAGGCCGCTCTGCTGCCTGGCCTCCCTGGGCACGAGCCCAGCCTGTGCTACTTGCCCGTTGGCCTCTCAGTGGCAGCCCTGGCCCTGGTCTGGGCACCCAGTGGCAGGAGGTTTGCTGCTGCTGCCTGTGCTGGGTTCAGGAAGGTTGATTTCAGCGCTCCATCCTTGGGCCAGTTTGTGCTGTGGGATCCCTGGTCACACGGCTGTCCCTCCATGTGTCCACTTATCCCTGTGCCCAATGGGTCCTTGTGAGGCAGCTCTGTGCATGCCTAGCCTGCTCTCACGACAGCCTTGGAGGGGAAAGTGCCTCCATGTCCCTGCTCTGCAGCCAGAGAATTCCCTTGAGTGGTGCCTGCTGTGCGGGTGCTGCCGACTCCTCCACAGGCTCGTGGGCAGCATAGCAGGGACATGTCCAGGTCGCTATGGCCTTAGGAGTGGCCGAGCCAACCTGTGGCCATGGACAGGGTCCTCACTGTGGGAGGGCGTGTGGCGTGGCACTCGCACACGCTTTGCCAACTGGATGAGGACCAAGCTTCCCAGGGAGCCGGTGTCAGCACCAGCTGGCAGGACGTGGCATGCGGCCAAGGACCTGCTTGTTGCCCCTGTGCCTCCAGTAGCTCCCAGCTCCATGTTCATGAGTTCCGTGAGCCCGGTGTGCATGTTTGCTGCTTAGTTCTGCATTGTGGGGTGGTGCCCATCCCCCTTGCCCCGATGCCCCATGCCTTGACCATGCCCTGTTGGGGAGCCCTCACCCTTGGGCGTGCTGCAGCTGTCCCTGAGGCCCCACTGCAGCGCCTGGTCTCTGGCATCACTTGTCTGCTGAAGTCCTCCTGCCCTTCTGCACCACGTGCCAGCCCACTGTGTCCTTTCTACCTGGCTCACCTGGGACCTCAGAAGCGCCCCACCAGGAGGGTCACCTGTGCCCTGGAAGTGCCCATCCCCACTGCCTGTGCTTTCCCGTCCAGGCCCCCTGAATGCGCGCCAGAAGGGGGTGATCGAAGCCTTCCTCCACGCATGGAAGGGGTACCGCAGATTCTCTTGGGGCCACGACGAGCTGAAGCCGCTGTCCAGGTCCTTCAACGAATGGTTTGGCCTGGGCCTCACCCTGATCGATGCCCTGGATACCATGTGGATTCTGGGTCTGAAGAAAGGTACTAGCGAGCTGGGTCCTGAGCAGCATGGGGGCTGCTGTCTCCTAGCCCCGAGTTGTGCCTTCTGGGCCCGGAAGTGGATGTGCTTGGTGTGGTCAGGAGCTGATTTTGTGTCTGCTGTCCAGGGCCCACTGTGGACAGACGTCCCCTGGCCTCCTGGGCAGCTGAGGGTGGATGTGGCGGGCCCGTCCAGGACACGTCTCCAGCCCTGTCTTTGGGGGCAGCGGCCAGGGGGTGGGGCCAGGAGATCTGTCGTGGGCCATGCTGGCCCCGGCTCTGTGGCGTCTTCCTGAGGTCCCGGTCCAGCTGACTGGGGAGGGTGTCAGTTGTTCCGGAATTGGTAGTGACACACTTGCTTGGAGCCTTCATTGCTTGAGTGCCACCGGGACCTCGCTCAGCTATTGCATTGCAGTGCTTATGGGGTCACCTGTGCTCCCCTCCCGGGCTGCGGTGCTGCTTTGCTCTGGCAGCACAGGGATGGCCTCTGGGTCGCCCCGGGTGGGCAGGGCCCTGACATCCTGCAGGGCCACTTCTGTCCAGCAGGCTCGTAGGGAGGGAGATGGGTGGAGCGTCCACCCCTGAACCCCGCTCTCGTCCCAGAATTTGAAGAAGCTAGGAAGTGGGTGTCGACAGAGCTGAACTTTGAGAAAGACGTGGACGTCAACCTGTTTGAGAGCACCATTCGCGTCCTGGGGGGCCTGCTGAGTGCCTACCACCTGTCCGGGGACAGCCTCTTCCTGAGGAAAGCCGTGAGTGTCTCCCCACCGCATCCCTTAGAGCAGGCCTCTTCAGCTCCTCTTTCCGGCTCTTTCCCTAAATGCATCCGACTCTTCAGTTTCCCGGCCTGAGCCCACGTCTCCCCTCCGTGGTGCCCTCAGGAAGAGGTGCCCAGCACTGCTCACCGCGGTTGGTTTGCTGCCTGTGGGGCTGGGAGGCCACCATGCCTCCCCCCTTAGGCAGAAGCGCAGAAGAGGCCCGTGGGACCCGGGAGGTTGATTCTCTGCTGTGCTTTTATTCCAGGAAGACTTTGGAAATCGGCTGATGCCTGCCTTTGCCACGCCTTCCAAGATCCCGTACTCAGACGTGAACATCGGCACTGGAGTCGCCCACCCACCCCGCTGGACTTCGGATAGCACGGTGGCCGAGGTGACGAGCATCCAGCTGGAGTTCCGGGAGCTTTCTCGTCTCACGGGGATTAAGAAATTCCGGGTAAGAGGGATGCATTTCCAGCAGGACACACTTCCCCAGGCAGCTAACCCGTCCACGTAGCCAGAACAGCGCAATGCGCGCTTGTTCATCTCTCCGGGTCCTCTGTTGTTGTTTCCCTGTAAGAAAATGAATGCAGAACTGACCGTCCCAGCCATTTTTCATGGTGTGGTTCATCGGCATTAAGTACACTATAACGTTGTGTGGCCACGGCCACCAGCCACCTGCACAGCTTTCTTCATCGTGTGAAACTGAGTGTCTCTGTTAAACAAAAAACACTCCCAGGCCCGCAGTCCCCGTCTGTCTGTGAGTTATGTGCTGGGCTGTTTTTTGTTGTTTTTGTTTTTTGGTACCGGGGATCGAACTCGGGTCCTTGCACTTTCAAGGCAGGCGGCGGAACCGCTGAGCTAAATCCCCGCCCCATTATGGACTGGGCTCTTTAGAGTGGAATCATGCAGTGTTGGTCCTTTAGTGCCTGGCACCTTTGTCCACGTTGCTGTGGCGTTGCGGTGCCAGCCTCTGTCCCTGGCATGGGGAGGACCTCATGCTCATCTGTTCACCCCTCATGGGCTGCTGTCAGTTTCAGCTCCGGTGAATAAGACTGCTACTAGGCGTCAGGTGTATGATAGCTGCTTGAGGCAGCTTTCAGTTCCATGGGCTGTGGACCTCGACTGGACTGGCTGGCTCGGGTGTTAGTCCTCTCTGTGACTTTTTGGGTCGCCAGCATATCTTCCTGTGTGGTTGTGCCATTTGGCATTCCCATCCACCGTACATAAGGCACCCTTCTCTCTGTACCCTGGACAACTCTTGTTATTTTCTGTTTTTTCACGGTAGCCGACCTCATGGTGTGAGGTGACGTCTCAGTGGTTTTGACCCCTTTCCCTGCTGTAGTGACGTTGAGCACCTCTCCATGTGTACGTCCCCTCTGGGGGAACGTCATTTGAGTTCGTCCCCTCTGGGTGGCTGGGGATGGAAGCCAGGGCCTGGTGCACGAGCGTGTGTGGCATGGTGTCCTTTCTCTCGGTGTCCTTGTACGGCTCTGAGACAGGGGTGCCGCTGGTCTCGTAGACTGTCAGGGAGCTTTGTGCAGATGTTTGCGAAGGTTCCCCACGGTGACCCTCACCTGCCACAGGAGGCCGTGGAGAACGTGACGAGGCACATCCACTCCCTGTCTGGGAAGAAGGACGGGCTGGTGCCCATGTTCATCAACACGCACAGCGGCCTCTTCACCCACCTGGGCGTGTTCACCCTGGGCGCCAGGGCCGACAGCTACTACGAGTACCTGCTGAAGCAGTGGATCCAGGGCGGGAAGACGGAGACACAGTGAGGCCATTTCCGCTGCGCGCAGGCCAGGTTCCCTGCTCCCCGTCCCCGCCCTGCTGCAGGCTGGGGGTCCCCGCCGGGGCCTCGTGGCACGCGTCCTTGTGAGGACAGCCCCGGGGAGGCCGTGCACTGGCAGCCCGCGTGAGCTGACCCGCCGGCATCCACAGGCTGTTGCAGGACTACCTCGCAGCCGTCGAGGGGGTGAAAGCACACTTGCTGCGGCGCTCCGAGCCCGGGAAGCTCGTCTTCGTTGGGGAGCTTGCCCACGGCCGTTTCAGTGCCAAGATGGTGAGTCGTGTGGGCCGGGCTGGGCTGGCAGGGCCTCTCTCGCCAGCTTCCAAGGCTCCTGAGCCTGTGGTAGGAGGAGCGGGGAACGCGGGCCGAGGTATGTGAGCACCGCTGGGCTGGACATGTGCTGCACACCCTGCGTCTGGCCGAGGCTTGCCGACAAGCCGGGGGGGCACAGGACCCCCAGGCCGTCTCTTCTCCCTGCCGGGCCCCTTCAGGTGCCCAGCAGGCAGCAGCGGTGGCAGGGCCCCGGGAGCCCCAGGGGAGGAGGTGCTGGGCCTGGACCCTCATCCACCTGCTGCCCCGGCCCCCCGCTGGGGTGCTGTCCCCCAGGAGTGTGGGCTGAGCTGGCTTTGTGGCAGGCAGGTGAGTGTGGGGGACCCGGGTCCAGCTGTGAGGAGACCCTCTGATTCCAGGACCATCTGGTGTGCTTCCTGCCAGGGACGCTGGCCCTGGGCGTCCACCACGGCCTGCCAGCGGAGCACATGGAGCTGGCCCTGGCGCTCATGGAGACCTGCTACCAGATGAACCACCAGATGGAGACGGGGCTGAGCCCCGAGATCGCGCACTTCAACACCTTCTTCCAGGCCGACCTGAAGGATGTGATAGTCAAGGTGAGCCCAGGGGGCTGGACTCGGGAGGCTGGCACCCGAGAGGGTGGCTGTACCCCGACCGTGCCCTCTTCCTCCAGCCAGCTGACAGGCACAACCTGCTGCGCCCCGAGACTGTAGAGAGCCTGTTCTACCTGTACCGCCTGACGGGGGACCACAAGTACCAGGACTGGGGCTGGGAGATCCTGCAGAGCTTCAACAAGTACACGCGGGTGAGCGTGGGGTCCCGCATCACAGGCGATGGCTGCAGCCCAGCCGGGTGCCACAGGGCTCTGGCGGGGTGGGTGTACCCTGGGCCTCTGGGAGTGGTGGCAGCAGGCCCGCCGTGCCTGGTTGCTGCCCAGGCCTTCCTGGGAGGGCCGCACTCTGGCCACACCTGCTGCCCACTGTTCACCAGGCACATGACCCATTCCGAAGGCTATGTCTGGCCCATCTCTTGGTCTCCACTGTGCAGCCACGCGGGCCTGGGCCTGGGCCTGGGCCTGGGCCTTCCTTCAGCAGTGCCTGCCCTCTCCCAGCCGTCGTGAGGCACTGGGCCTTGGAGTCCCCTCGTCCCTGGCACTCCGCCTGCCCTGGGACTCCCGCACACCCTGGTGGGGCAGGAGCGGGGGTGGCTCCCTGAGGGCCACTCCTGAGTGTGGGGCCCTGGGCACTCGCGCAGGTCCGCTCGGGGGGCTACTCTTCCATCAGCAATGTCCAGAACACCCACAAGCCAGACCCCAGAGACAAGATGGAGAGCTTCTTCCTGGGCGAGACGCTTAAGTACCTCTACCTGCTGTTTTCCGATGACCCAGACCTGCTCAGCCTGGACCGCTACGTGTTCAACACTGAGGCTCATCCCCTGCCCATCTGGGGCGCTGCCTAGGGCAGCTCCTGGCCTGGGCCCGGGCCCTCGGGTGTTCTCCCAGGGCCCCTATGGTGTCGGTGGGCAGCTGCTGAGCCTCCCTGTGCCTACCCTGGCCCCAGCCATTGTGTCTGCCCTGGTCAGCAGCCATGGGTGCAGGGCGACCAGCCCACGGGAACCCCTGCCTCCTCCTTCCACATCACTCAAACCGTGACTCCCAAGCCCTGAACATCCGTTGCTTATTGCAGGGAACCACATGGTGGTCCTAGGGCCACTGGTCACCTGGGCGGCTGCAGCCTCTCGAGTTCTGAGGAGCTGAGAGGCAGTCTGCGGGGCAGCCGGGGCACGGCCAGCAGAGCTCGGGGGGTTCTGACCGAGGGTCAGCCGCCGTGGCTTGCTGTGGCGTCTACATGTCGGACTCAGGGATCCTCCTGGCGGCTCTGCAGGGCTAGGCTGCCGGATGGAATGGGACTTCCTGGCTGGGATAAGGATAGCTCGCTCCGCCCATGACAGTGCCCGAAAGGAGGGGTCCCTACAGGTGGGAAGAGGCCTGTGGAGGTCCCTTGTCCCTTGTCCCGTGTCTCATATGGGGCCGCTGCCCACAGTGGGGAGGGCCCTTGCCTTGGGTAGCACCCTGTGGCCAGGACAGGTGGGGCCCGTGCCACGCCCTGCCTGGGGTGGGGTCTTTGTGCCTTTGTGTGGTCCTCTTGGTCCTGCCTGTCGGGCAGAGTCCTCATCCTGGGACTGACCTGGGTCCCAGTCCAGGGGACCCCTTGGGGCAGCATGATTCCACTCTTGTGTGGCCCGAACAGCCCATGGTTGAGGAGGTCCCTTTCCCTGGAGAGGCAGAGCTCAGGCAGCGCAGGGGAGGCCCCTGGACAGGCCCTCGAGGCCTGTATGCCACACAGCCCTCAAGAGCCAGCTCCCAAGGTGGTCAGGACCTGTCTTCTGGCCACCTGCAGCTCGGTATCCAGGTGGCAGCCCGCTGCCTCCTGGGACAGCAGGAACCCAGGGGCTTCCTGAGACTCCTGCCCCCACCGGTGTCTGCAGGAAAAGACCACCCATGTTCCTCAGGCCACGCCTGCCCAGGATGCCCGGCCCTGCCCACATGGGTGGCTGTGCTGCTGCCCCCTGGGCCAGGCATGGGCTCGAGGGCGGGCAGCTGAGGAGTGAGTTCCTCCCATGCCCAGCCTCCCTTGCAGCTGTGCTGTAGAGGGCAGAGCTGGCTGGGGCCGGGGACATGGGGACCAACTGGAGAGCTCATCTGCTGTGCAGTGATGTGGCTTTGGTGTCCACTCTGCCCTGTGGGGAGCCCTGTCCTGGGGAAGGGCAGATTCTGTCGTCACCCTAAATATCGACCTCAGCGCCGAGGAATCTGTGCTTCATTAAATGTTTATTGGTCTCAGCAGCTGTGTGCAGCATGTGCTCCCCACTGTGGGCCTGGGACGGGACGGGACGGGACGGGACAGGACAGGAAGGGTGCACCTAGCCTGGCCCGGGGCGTTCATCCAGCAGTCTGCCCTTGTGCTCCAGAGGCCCTGCGCTGGGCTGGCCACTGTGGTCCACGGGAACCCTGAAGTGCTCCCCGAAGTCCTGCTGGCCTCAGTGGGGGGCCAGCTGCCCCTCAGCGCCAGGCCCCTCATGTGGCGTGGGCCACTGCTCACGCCAGGCTGCCTTTACCCACTCCCGGATGAGGCTGGCCTCCAGCTCACGCACCTCCACGACAGATGCAGGGTCCTCTGGGTGAGATGCTCTGTAGAGCAGCAGGGGTCCCCTGAGTCCTGTGGGGGAGACCTGAGCCCTCCTGCCCGGCCCAGCCTGCAGCCTAGCTCAGGAGAAGGGGAGAGGGGCTGCTCCCCTGCACCTGAGGTCCAGGTGATGTGCTCCGCCCCGAATGACGACCGCAACCACCGACGCACTGAGGTTCCTCTGTATCTGTGGCAGCAAGAGAAAGCTCCATCAGGCGGGGCCAGTGCTCTGGGCTCTGCCAGGCCCACTGCAGGGTGCAGCTAAAGCAGTAACGGGGCAACCGTGGAGCCTCAAAAGTCCCAGTGGAAAGGAAAGAAGGTCATAGAGCCAAATGGCAGGAAAAATTGGGAGGAAATCAGGAGGCTTGGAGCAAAACAGATGAGGGCCAACCCACAGGTGGGCAAAGGCAAAGAGGGTTCTTGTGAGGTTCTGGCATTGGTGGGGAACTGATCAGGACCACCCAGGTCCCTGGCCACTGCCCGCCAAGACTCACCCCGCCACCAGCCCAGGGGTCCAGGTCCCCGTTGGAGAAGATGATATTGCTGGCACCCTTGATGTCTAAAAAGGACACAGCAAGGGTAGTGAGGGGCCAGTGTGCACCCAGAGCTGAGTGTGGGGCAGAGCTTGCATGGGGAGAGAGGATGCTGCAGCCTTACCGCCGCCCCCAAAGCTGGTCTGCAGCCAGTCAGGCCGGGGCCACACGCCCCACGTGTCCAGGCAGTACTGCTGGCGGAGCTCCTCGGTGAAAGGGAGGGCGGGGAACATGTCGGTCACGTTGTTGCTGTCGAACGTCAGGTTGATTTCTGTGCAGGCCTGCGGGTGCCATGGGAGAGGTCAGGTGATGGGCCACTCCCTCACCCCACCCCAGCCGCCCAGGTCACCAAGCCCACCTGGTAGTCCCAGGCCTGTGCATCGGAGCCAGTGCCACAGCCCGTGGGGTCAGCACAGCTGCGGTACAGCTGGTAGATGTCATAACAGCGCTCTGTGCCAGAGGCGTTGTAGACTAGCCCTGGGGACGAGAGGTGCGGGACAGTGGCCACTAAGCTGCCCCCACCTTGCAAGAACTTGCAGGGGTGAACTCGGGTCCCTCCTACGTGCCTGTGAGGAAAGCCCCTGGGCTCTGCCAGCAGCTCTAGCCTGGCTGCCCGGGCAGCCCAGTGGGACCCGACATCTTCCCGCTAGACGGTGCAGCCACTACATTTGATCTGCGCTGGGCCAGCCCGAGCCCCAGGCCGCTGGGTGGGGCCCCGGCCCACAGAGCCCTGGCCAGGGCTGCAGGTCCCTGTGCCCAAAGCCCCACCATCGCCAATGTCCCACACTCTCCCCACACGGGGCTGACCCACCTGCCAGACTTCGAAGCCCCGCGATCCTCTGGGCCTCACTCAGCAGCCGGTCGCAGCCAGCCTGGGTTGGAGGGACCACAGCGCCCTTCAGCTGAGGACCCTGCCAGCTCTACCCTTGCTGCTCCCAGGATACAGTGGGAAGAGCATCCCATGGCCCAGGGCCAGGCCTGGAGCAGCCTCCCCAGGAAAGCAACCTCACCTTGACGGGGTTGGCAGGCAGGGGCACCAGGAAATCAGTTGGGTATGGGTAGTCCATCATGGCCAGCACAGTGAAGGCGTTCCGAGCAAATACAAAGAGCTGCGTCAAGTCCTCCAGGCCTGAGAGTGACTGGCAGGTGCCAAACTCTCGGCTAATCCTATCATAGGCTGCGGGAAAGGACAGAGGTACAGGCTGTGGGCAGATGTGGGAGAGCAGGTGTAGGCAGGAGGGTGCAGGATGGCAGGTGTGGGTGGGCCAGTCTCACCTCCCTGCAGGAACAGGTCCCTGATCTGCTGGAAGGCATCACGCACACCCTGGGCACACTTGGGGCTCTGGCCATAGAAGTCCTAGGGGGGATACGGCAGTGGCTACAGCACCCACCTGGGCTGGCCTGGGGGACCCTCCAGATCCTCACTCACCGCTGTGACGTCCCGGAAGAACTGGTAGGAGTCGCCAAGGCCTGAGACAGCTATGACGGGCGCGCTGGCAGCCAGCGCCCCTGCCACCAGGTGGGGGTACTTCATCCTCATGTAGGCACTGAGCATCCCCCCATAGCTGGCCAAGGGAAGAGGCCCCCAGGCTGGCAACCCACCCTGACCTCGGGGCTCAGGGTCCCAGTGCCTGCTTCCCTTTTCCCACCTCAGAGGTCACAGATGCCAAAAGGAGGAACTGAAGCCTCAGAGACCCACATGTGGGTTCCGGCCAGAGCCTGGGAAGAGGCCCGGCAGTGGAAGGACGCGGGAGGCTGAGGCGGGTGGGGTCTCCTGGGTGGCGCTGCCCGCACAGCTTTGCCCTGGAAGAACTGGAGGGCTTCTCGGGGGAGGCAGCACGCGGCCTGCACTGCCCCAGGAGGAGTTAGGCGGCCACGGGGTCCGAGGGCAGAGGGGATGCCAGCTGGATGGGGCCACCCTGCAGGCCCACCTGGTTTAGATGTGGCCCTGGAGCCTCCCAGGGGAGCAAGGAGGAAGACGCAGGGCTAAAGGGCCTCTCTGACCCCGGGGGAACAAACCAAGGACCCACCTCCCTCCAAAGGTGATGGCGGGAGCATCCTGGGTGCCGAGGTCCCGCCGAAGGGCCTGCAGCAGCACGGCGAAGTCGGCCAGCGCCTGCTCCACCGTCAGCAGCTTCAGGTACCCGCGCTGCGTGGACTGTGCGCCGAATGGGAGCGACTTCCCGTAGTACCGCTGTGGGCACAAGGAGGGACAGCTGACCCCTGCTGGCCACTCGCGTCCCCAGGCCCCTGGTCCCCCAGGACCGGCCGGTACCCACGTGCTCTGCAAAGACAAGCAGGCCCTCCTGCTGCTGCGCCAGCTCCACCAGGAAGCCTGAGTTGTTGGCGAAGCCCCACACGTCACCCTCATTCCCCGTGTAGAAGAAGATGGGGCCCTCGGACCGCCTCCAGAACTTGTCTGCGGGGAGGCAGGGTGGTGAGGCTGGAGCCGCAGGAGCATGGGGGACGGGGCCGGGGCTATGGGGCCCCGGGGGCAGGCCCACCTGACACCAGGAACCGCTGGCTGAAGGTCTTGTTGCCAAAGCTCTCAAAGTTGAAGTGGTCTAGGAGCTGCTCAAAATAGTACTCCCGGAACTCAGGGTCCGCGCTGTGGTGGGCAGCCAGTGTCCTGCAGGGCTGGGGGGCCCCGAGGCTGAGCAGCACCAGGCCTAGCAGCAGGACAGAGGGACCAGCCCTGGGGCGCTCCATGTCCCCATGCTGGGAACCCATGTCTAGCTCTGCAGAGGGTGGTCACGTGCGTCAGGTCATGTGACCCAGGGAGACCTCACATGATGGCCTGGGCGGGGCTAGGCCTGGATCTCGCTGGAGCCCAAAGCAGAACCAGCCTCTAGTCCTCTCCAAGTCTCCAGGGTTCATGGGCAGGTGCTGGCTGTGTCCCCATGGAGATGGTCACCATGGAGACCCAGGAAGCCTGTGGAGGGTTCAGGGACTCTTCAAGGAGCCAAGGTCCCTGAGGTCCCAACCCCGTTCCCTCCCCATTGGCTCCTCAGCTCATCTTCCTCACAGGAGTTAGCCCACCTGTGCCCTGGGGCCTGCGCGATCCCAGACATTACTGACACTGTGCAGCCTGGAAGTAGCCACTCTGCCCTCAGCACCATCCTGTCCTGGCTTCACTGCCAGCCCTGTGACCAGGGCTCCAGGGCCAGGGAAGAAGGGACAGCCTGGTTGCCTGGGGTCACTGAGGGAGGGGGCCCCTGCAGACAGCCAGTGGCTCCAAGGAGGGGCCATCAGGCTTGTCCAGGTGATGGCAGGGGCGGGGGACATAGACCTGTAGGTCCCCGGGGTGTGGGCAGGCAGGTGGCTGGTGCCCCCTCCCCTGGCTGCTGTGCACACAGCTCCAGGCCGAGAGGAGCCAGGGCTGAGCTTCTGTCTGCAGTTGGACCCTATGTGGCAGGGAAGGAAGTGGCCAGCCCAAGACCTCAGTGACCAGCCAGGTAGCCTGCAGCCAGCTCAGCACAGTGGGGCTGTGCCGGACTTGGTGCCGCTGGGCTTCAGGGACACAGACGAGAACTGGGCCCCCTGCCACTGAGGACGAAGGGGACACCTAACTCACAGCTGTCCCGGCCAGCCCGGCCCACCTGGGGCTGCGGCTGAGGGGGAGGACCCCTGGACCCCTGGACCCTGCAAGTGAGCATGGTGGGTGCCATGGGCACGGTCAGCTTGAGGCCATCCCATGACATCACATCCCTGTCACAGCCCTTCCATCGCCCACCAGGCATCCGCAGGAGAGGCCCACACGCCACAGGGCCGGGACACAACTCGGGGCAGCCCCTCCCCTAGGTGCTGGGGGCTCCACTTAACCACGCTGAGGTCCTGCACACATTCACAATGTGTGCAACACCCGCATCACGTGTGTCCCAAACTATCTCATCTCCCCATGGGGAGCTGGTCCCCACAGCATGGGAGCCGTCCTTTCGCTCTGCCAGTACCCGGCAGCCACTATCTCCGTGGTCTCCATGAACTCAGCTGCTCTGGGTGGGTGGTGAAAGCTGAGCCACACAACAGGCCCAGCACGGGGCCTAAGGTCATCCAGGGCAGCGGGTCTGTCTGTCTGCATGTCCGCAGGTGGACATTGGGGCTGTTGCCACTTCTTAGCTTGGGGACCATGCTACCGTGAAACAAGTGCACACCTATCTGTGCGCATCGCTGCCTTCAGTCCTTTCCGCAGACGCAGAAGTGGGTTTGCTGGGTGGAATCCGCTCTGTGTTCGGCTTCCCGAGCACCCTGTACAGGTTTGCACCTGGCTTCCTGTGCTGAGCCCCACTGACCTGCACCGTGTTGGCGTGGCCTCAGCAGTGCTCATTCCTTTCTGGGGTCTTTTTCTTTTACAAAACTGGGGATCTAACCCAGGGCCTTGTACATGCTAGGCGAGTTCTCCCCCACTGAGCAACACCCCAGCCCCTTTTTAGAATTCTGAGACAGGCTCTGGCTGAACTGCCTAGGCAGGACACCACCTCTCAGTCCTCTTGTCTCGGTCCCCAGGGCTGGGTGACAAGTGTGCACTGCCACACCCAGCCCTTCTCTTCAAGGGGCTGTCCCTGCAGGTGTAAAGTGCTCTCCGTCTGACTTGCATTGCTCTGAGGACCTCTGGAGAAAATATTTTCCTCATTTCTGAATGTGGTTGCTGGTTTTGATTTTTTAAGAATATTATGGAAATTAATCTTAGACGGCTGATTTACAAGTATTCTCTCCCACTCTTGTACTGTTAGTTTCTCACAGGTGAAAACACCATCCGGGCTGTGCTTCTTCCAGGCCCAGGACTTCCTGGCCAGTTGCCTGGGCATTGCAAAAAGATGTCTGTGATCCCTGGGACATGGCTCTGGGCCCGACCCAGCTGCGAGTCTGCCTGATGGCACTATAGAAGTCATCACCGGGGACCACCACTAAGCCCTGGCAGGTCTCTAAGCAGTTCGAGTTACTCCCACTGAGGGACCCACCTACTGAGGGTCACCATGGTGGGCTCAGTGCAGCGGCTGAAGTTGTGCAACTGGTGGACTTTGGGGTGACCGCTTGCTCCGCTGCGGAGGGGTGCCACACTCCCTGCAGGACAGTGCCAGCCCTGTCCCCACCTGGCTGTCCCGCAGGAGGGCAGGCCAACGCAGCCTGGAGAGGCAGCACAGCTGGTGGGAAGGACATCAGATTTGGTTTACAAATGGGGAAATGGCCGGGTGTCATCCTCAAGTCTACTACATCTCAGAGAACTCTGGGGGCACAAAGGCTGCATGAGCGGAGCTGGTGCTGGGAATTCCACGCTGGGCCTGGTGCATGCTAGGCAAGGGCTCTCCCAGCAAACCAGATCTCTGGCCCTTTTGTTTTATTTATTTATTTTTTTTGGTACTGGGGATTGAACTTGGGACCTTGTTCTTGCAAGGCAGGCACTGGAACCGCTGAGCTAAATGCCCAGCCCAGGCTCTTTTTATTTTTGAGACAGGGTTTTGCTACATTGCCCAGGCTGGATTCAAGCTTGATGTCCTCATTTCTCAGAGGGCCAGAAGCTGGGAATTCAGGCGTTCACCACTTCTCCTGAGGGCTTCTACAAGGAAGGAAAGGAACATGTGACAGTGTGTGCTGAGTTACACACGCTCCTACCCTCAGGGTCCAGAGACTTCCTAGGCAGCCCCCATACAAACCAAACATGTCGTTTTCCCATAAGTTAAACAAGATTCCACTTTTTCTTTTCTTTTTTTTTTGGTACCAGGGATGGAACTCGGGACCTTGTGCTTGCGAGGCAGGTGCCAGAACCACTGAGCTAAATCCCCGGCCCCAAGATTCCACTTTTTAAGAAAAGCAGTTGCTGGGCCAGGGATTTAGCTCAGTGGTGCCGCCACCTGCCTTGCAAGTGCAAGGGCCCGAGTTCGATCCCCGGTACAAAAAAAAAACAATTAGCATGTCCTTGGCCTACATGTGGATGTTACCTCAGAAGATTAGGCTTCCTAGGCTCTGTAAATCTAGAGAAAAGTCACTGATTAGTCAGCTTCCTGACTCATGTCATTTTAGTTTCTGGGAAGAGTTGAAGCAGAGAATGGGAGGGAGAGTGGAAATCAACTTGTGCTGGGGAACAGTTTGACCTGTTAGGTGGCTTCAGAGTTGTCATTTACAGCAAACCCTGGGGGAGACAATGAATAATGTATTGCTCAGCCCTGTGGCCTCGGAACTTGTGATGTTTGGGGCTGGGGATGTAGCTCAGTGGCACCACATCTGCTGGTAAGTGCAGGGTCCTGAGTTTGAACCCTGGTATTGCAAAAATATATATATATAGTGGATGTTTTTGAAAAATTGTACTTATGTACAGAACTGAGGATTGATCCCAGGGCCATGCTGAGTTACTTTCTTCCTTTCTTTTTGAAACAGGACCTCATTAAATCCCTAAATTGCCCAGGTAGGATTCACATTTGTCCTCCTGCCTCAGCCTCTCAAGTAGCTGGGATTACAGGTGCCTATCACTGATTTTGAAAGCCCAGAAGGGTTTACAGGAAATGGGCCTGTGGCAGCGCCCAAAGGCCATGCCCTGGGAGGTTCAGGGCCGGTGCCTTCTCACAGCCCTCCAGGGGACAAGGAGACTGGGTGCGTGGGCTCCTGGTGTGATCCCAGCTGAAGGAATCGGACCACCGCCATCCCGGTCTTAGCAGAGGCCGCCATGCTTTACACCTGCTGCCGATGCATCGTCATGGTTGGATCGGGGCCATTAAGCACAGCTCACCCCTAATTCCCAGTCACCTTCAGCCCTGCCCTTGACAACACCAGCTCCTTTCGCGTCCCCAAGCCCTGTCAGGGCGGAGGGCCACAGCGCCTTTGTACTGAACTCTGCCCCTTAAAAGCCTCACTGGCTCTTTCCTTCCACAGCCCCCTTTCTATGCTCATGGTCCTACAAAGACCGTATAACCTGTGGGAGAGTGCGGGTCCGGTCTCTAGGGCCAGAGCGGCCCCTCTCAGGTTTGTTCTGAAGTAACCCCTGCTTCTTTTCTTGTCCTAACACCGGCTATCCAGGAGGCTGGGGCAGAAGGATCGAAAGTTCAAGGTCACCCGGGCAATTCAGGGAAACCCTATCAAAATAAAGTTTTAAAAGGGAAGGGAAGGGCCGGGGATTTAGCTCAGCGGCACCGCGCCTGCCTTGCAAGCGCAAGGTCCTGAGATGGATTCCCCGGTACAAAGAAAAGGGGGGGGGGTATGTAGCTACGTGTTCGAGCGCGGGTCTAGCGTGCAATCTTCAGTACTGCAAACAATTCCATAAGAAAACAACAACACCCTCTCATGGCTTTGAGCATTACACACTCTCACGCCTTAGCTTGGGTCGTTTGCGCATGCGCCGAGCGCTGCCTGACCTGCGCAGTCCCTTGGCTTGCGGCCGTGACGTGATCCTTGCCCACGCGGGAGCTGGCCGGAGTCCTGTGTGCCCGGAGGCTGCAGCCGCGGCCGGTCCGAGACCCTAACAAGGGCGCCCACGGTCTCATCCTGCACCGCACCGCCCCTTCCCTGGTGCCTGTGAGGAGCCCTCGGTCTCTTCCCACGCACAGCTCTGCGGCCAGCCAGCGAGGCCCGCAGACGCCGCTGCCCGAGTCGCCCGGGAGACTGTGGCCTCGCGACCCCGCCAGAGCTGGACAGAAACACGAGGGTTTCCCGGGCCCGCCAGGGTGGCCCTGGTCCCCGCCACCCGTGGGCTCCCCAGCAACTGCACCTGCCAGGGAGGGTCAGTCAGGGCTCCCGAGTTTATTCCGTGTGTCCGTCTGCAGGAGTGAAGATCGACAACTTTCAAGTCGTTTGCTCGGGACAGTGTGGGGTCAGGGGCGATGGGTGTTCGTGAGGAGGGGCGGCCTGAGGGAGAGCTCTGCAAGGCGGGAACGCCGCGAGCCGCCTGGGAACCCTGGACCCCCACGTTATGGGATGAATGGCAGACTCTGAAGGCCGCCTGGCATCTCCCTGGAACCGTGCAAAGGCACAAGCTAAGCACTCCTCACTGCACTCACAAGCAGAATTTGCAAAACTGGAGCGAGGCGGAGGAGCAGGTGGGAGATGGCCCGGGCGAGGGGTCCGCATCATACTCGGTGCAAGCCCTCTGTGCCTTCGAGGTTTGTGCTCCTGGCAGAGCCGAGGTGACGGTGCCATCATGGCTAGTGTGGCCTGACCCCGGCCCTCAGCTGGGCTCCTGGACTCCAGGCCACTGGGCGAAGGCATCCTTCTGGCTCACACCCTCTCCTGTTGGGGACAAGCTTGGGGCCGGTGGCCGAGACTTAGCTTTGTAGCTGTTCTTGGGGAAGGGAGTGCCAGTGCCTTCTCTCAGGAACACAGGTGAGCAAGAGGCGCTGCCCTTCAGAGCAGCCGCACAAGAGTCAGAGCCTGGTCCAGGTGCAGGGCCAGGGCACCACATACCAAGGCTGCATGTCCAGCATGGGGAGCTTGGGAAGACCTGGAGCACCAAGATCTGTCAGAAGCTACAGGCAGGTAGGTGAGGGGATGAAAACCAAATCAACCAGGGGGCCACAGTATTTGTCTCAGGTTCTTGGGGAAAGCCCTTGAATTCAGCAAACTGCCCAACAGCTGAGAGGCTGAGTCCTTGGGAGAAATCTGGAGGCAGGGCGGGCTCCTGCAGGGCAGCCTGGACAGCTGGGCAGCGCCTGTGGCCTCAGCCGGGGATGCAGGTAAGACTATCCCCCTCTCCCCGGTGGCCGGTCCAGCTGCCCAGGCGAGGGGGCTGCCTCAATCATGCCCTGGGCGGTGGACCTGAGAACTGGAGCCAGTGCCTGGTGCCCGGCTGCCGGGACTGTGCACCTTCTCATCTGCCTTGGAGAACGTGGGGCCCTCAAGACACCAGGGCTGGCTTCCCCACTGCAGCTCCTCCAGGATGATACGGCTTCCTCTCGCCCACTCCCACTCCCCAAACCCTCCGCCTCTCAGTTGAGTCTCAGTCAGAAATGCAGCCAAAGGGCCCACAGCAGATTGCCCATCGCTTATATGTCTGTGAGTGGTGGGAGAGGTCCCAGCCTTGTGGGGTAAGCCGGCAGGTTCCCTTCTGTCTTGCAGACTGGAGATGCAAACCCGGAGCGGGGCCAGGGCTTTGCCCCAACCTGAGGACCACCAGCTGGCCAGTCTGGGAGCAGGTCAGGCCTCCTGGGTCCTCAGCACCCTGGCCTGGTCCTCGTTCAGGATGAATGGGGACCAGAGCTTGTGGCCCTGAAGACAGGCTTCCAGATCCTGGAAACGAGCAGGACACCATGGCTGAGAGCCCACCCCTCAGTGGCCGCAGCAGCCAGCCCTGGGTCAGGACCCAGCTCTGCCTGGAGTGAGTGGGGGATCAGCAGAGTGAGGGGTCCCTCCCCTGCAAGACTCCCACAATACCTGCCTGGCCTAAGCCTGGCCTCAGGCTTGCGGTGGCCCCCAGCATACCCTCCCAGGACACCTCACTCCACCTGCATACCTGAAGGTGCTGTGCAACATTAAGGGTCCATTTACCCCACTGTAAACTAAGGCAGGCTGGTGATCTGTTCACCTTAGCACCCACAGCTCCCCAGTCTTCCTCTGGTTCATGGAAGCCAGACCCCAGGAAAACCCGACAGGAATGGGTGACTCTCACCTCTCCAGAGTAAGATACTAAGGGTGATATCTCACAAATGGCAGGAGGGTCTTCATTTTGGGGCAAGCTGTGGAGAATATGCTGGTCAGCAACTGCCTCTTGGGGACCCCAAGCCACCCCAGCACTCCCAAGCAGGGACAGCGCCACACACAAGCCCTGCAGCCCCTTCTCTGTGAGCTCTTCCCCTGTGGTGTCGGGCAGCGACAGGCTAAGCTGGGCTAGAAACCACCCCAGGGCACCCTGTGCAAAGCCTAGGAAGCCAGGCCCAGCTGTCGCCCCACGTAACCTGGGAGACAGAAGCTCTAAGTCCTATTCCTTCCCAGCTCCAAGCCAAGCCACTCTGCTGCTTGCTAAGGGTCATAGCTGAGCCTCAGTGTCAAAGCTTACTAATCAGTTTGGGGCTTTGGCCCCCCAACCCGCCCTGGGGCCCTGAGCAGAACTTGAGGTATCAGGCTGAGCGGCTGAGCTGAGCCAAAAGTCCTCATGCAGGGGCCGGCTGGGCGCAACCTGTGTTTGGTGTGATGCAGGGGCAGCAGCAGAGCGGCTGGGGCCCTGGGACGACCCTTCTGCAGGACAGCCCAGGCCCACTCACATGGGCTGCTCAGGAAGTTGGGCCCCGTGTGCATCCAGGAAGTGGGCCCCAGCCTGCAGCGCCCACTGGTAGTGCTGAGTGAGCAGGGCCCGCCTGGCAGTGGAAGGGTTGTCCCTGGTCGCTGTGGCAGCATTTTTCAGCGGGGAAAACTCTTCCTCGCGAGATACTTCAAAGGCCATGAAGTTCCTGGCAGGAAGAAGGGCCGATCATCGCATGTCCCAGCCAGTGGCCCAGTATGCACAGGCCAGGCTGGCCAGGTTCACGGGCCCGGGGACCCACAGGCACTGAGTAAGTCTGATAACCTCATGTTCTCCCTCCCACTCCCACCAGCCATGAATCTGGCCGGAGGGAGGTCCTTGGTGAAGGTGGACGTGGAGGGACCGCCGTGTCCTCCCAGGGCTTGCCCAGACACTCCCCATGCTGCCACTCTGGAGCCCACTTCCTCTGGGGCACCACTGCCCTGCTAGGCTGGGGCTCAGACCCCACCACCAGAATAGCAAGAGGGGAGAAGGAAAAAAATAAGTGATTCTACCACTAACTTAGCAAACTGGAACACATCAAACACAAACTTCTCCATCTTTATCCCATTCGGTTTTAGCGGGTTTACCAGATTTCCCTCCTCATCCACGTACGGGACCTTCTTCACAGCCACATGTGGTTTCAGCAAAGGCTCAAACTCCCTGGGGCAAGAGGGCAAGGGGAAAGAAGGTTCAGGCCAGGCGCACCTGGTCAGGCTGGCAGCTGGGCACCACAGGGCCAAAGGCCAGGTACCATCAGCCAAATCCCTGCCTGCCTGTGGAAATGCAAATGCCAGGGCAGGGGCAGGGGCAGTAGGCACAGGTCCAGCTCATGGAAGGTAGATGCCACCACAGAGCGTGACCATGTTGGATCTCCAGGGCCTGGGCTTGTCTCACATGCATCTTGATCCTCCTAATCAGCAGCCACTCCTGGCCTCAGCCCCACCTCGGCCAGTCTGGCCTCCAGCTGCTGTGGCCCAGGACTCTCAGCCCATCCAGCACCACCAGTCATCGGTCAGCGAGGGTGGCCCTGGTTGGCACCACGCAGCCCTTTGCTGTCACACCTGGTGACCCTCTGCAGGAATCCTCGGGTGAAGAAGTGGTTGCAGATGTTGCCCACATTGTAGAGTAGGCGCCCGTCGGCCCCACACAGCCCTGCAGTCTCAGGGCTGATCTCGCTGTACTCCACCACCTGGGGGACACCGTCCACCTGGCACACAACGCCCACAGGCTCCTCCGGGTAGGCCTTTTCCACCACCTGTGCCCAGCAGGGAGGGGTCAGGGTCAGGCTGGGGGTGACGGGACTGGACACGGGGCGGGGCTCTGTGTAGGCGTGACCTATAGGAATGAGGCCCTATGGGGTCAACCCTCCACCCACAGGGGCGGGACTAGGCTCGGGGAAGGAGCGGAGTTTGGGGGCATGACCCCCAGAATGGAGGCTGGCAAGGCTGCTGGGCGGGGCTCTGTGTGGGTGTGACCTACTGGGACGGGACTCGCTAGACTGAGGGGCGTGGCCTCATGGGCGTGGCTGGTCCGGCGGGGGCGGGGTCCACGCGCACCTTGGCACCACAGTCCGCGCCCCGCAGCACGCAGAAGCCAATGAAGACTGGATCGGCCAGCCGCACCAGGATGTTATCCACACAATACACGTGCACGAACTCCACTCCACGACGCTCCATGTCTTCTAGGACCTGGTTGTCCGCCAGAGCGCGGTACAGACCCCCGTTACCATCTGCAGACAGAGGAATGGGCCTCACCGCGGGCCACAACTAGGAAACGCCCACTCCCACCTTAAGTGTCAGATATCACAGAGAGAGGGAAGGCGACCAGTCCATGTCCAGCTTGGGATTCAGGCCTCCTGACCCCTGCGCACTGAGTTGTCCTGGCTGCGCGCCCCTCTGTCTCAGGGTGGCCTACCTGGGGCCATGGCAACCTTGTCTTTCCGCTCCAAGATGGCCTTGCCCTCGAAGGAGACGGCGGGCAGCATGCGTTGCTCGAACAGGACCACGTTGGCAGGGTCCAGGTGGAAGAAGTCGTGCTCCTTGAAGAACTTGGCCGTGGGTCCCAGCGTAAACTCGCTAGTCATGATGTACCTGGCAGGGATGGACAGACATCGGTGATCACCGTTAGGGGCCTGGCCCAGCACAGTCTGGGTCGGTGCCGAGTGCGGCCCAGTGGGGCAGAAGTACGCACCAAGGCACGGTGCAGCGGGTTCTGTGGCGCTCACTAGCCAGCTGCTCCACGCGCCGGATCCGCTCGGCCTGCAGCTGGTACAGGGTCTTCCCGCTGGGCAGCCCCACCTGGTACATGCCCTTGGGGTAGGTGACGCCCAGACGGGTACCCTGCCCGCCAGCCAGCAGCAGCACGGCCACCTTGTTCAGGGCAATCTGGCGGAAACCTAAGAGGGGGAGCCGTGAGAGGATGCCAAGGTGCCGGGCAAGCAGCTCCCTGGGGCTCGTGTGGGCGGGGTGCGGCAGGTGAGCCAACCCCCGCGCGCCTCCCGCGCCCGGGACCCCGCGCCGCCCACCTTCCGCCTCCCAGCGCCGGCGCGTCTCAGGGTCGCTTCGGCTGGCGCTGCCCACGCGCTCTGGGGACAGGGGCCGCAGGCGCGCGGCCAGGCCGGGCGTGGGGCCGGGGGCGCGCGCGCAGGCCTCAGCCGCCGAGGCGCAGTGCTCGCGTAGTGCGTCAGGCTCCAGCGGCGCCAGCTCCGCTAGCAGCGCGGCGCGCGGCCCCGGGCCCAGCTCGGCCCAGAAGCGCAGCAGGTGGCCCTGGCCCGCGCGCTGCAGTCGGGCGCGCACGTCCGCCTCGGTGGCCATGTCGCCGAGGCCACGCGCTGAGCTAGAACTCGTGACCCGCGCGCTCCGTCGGCCCAGCATCACAAGACCCGGAGGGCTGGCCCAGCGCGCCCCGCCTCGACCCGGCCGGTCCTGTCTGGCCCCGCCCCGTCCGGTCCCTCCCTGCCTATAGTCCGGCTTCGGGCTAAATCGCAGGCCCAGGTCTCCTCTGTCCCCGCCCACAGGACAGCCCCATCCGATCCAGGGCGCCCCGCCCCTGGTTCGCTCCGGCGCCGGAGCTCCCCGCCCTGGGGAGTTGGAACGAGCAGAGGGGCCAGACCGTTGTGCAGGTAGAGGAGTGGGGCGTGGAGGTCCAGGAGGCGGACATCCCGCTGGGGTTCTGGGGCCCCGCTTGGACCCGCTGAGCCGCCCTCCGCCCAGCTTCCTGCCGGTCCACAGCCACGAAGGTCCGTCCTTGCCAAGGTTTGGGCCTAAGAAGGCCCTAGCTCTGTATGCATGCCTTCACCAACACTGGAGCCAAGGCCACCCGGGCTGTCCAGAGGACTGAGGGAGGCCAGACCCAGAGCTGGGCAGGGGCTGGGGCAGGGCCCAGATCCAGCAGGACTGGGTGTCACACACCTGGGGCTCCCTCCTTCACCCCGTCCGCTTTCCCACCACCATCTGACTAGGCTGCTCTGCAGCCCCTCCCTGCTTGTATTTTAACTACATACTGGATTTCAAGATTCATTGCTTTCTATAAAGTCACCTTGTGAAAAAAAGAAACCATAGTTTTAGCTATCTGGGAACAAACTTTCTTTAAGAAACTAGCTTTATTAAGTCTGAAAATAATACATGTAAATGGCTTTTAAAAATATACGTGTTTTAAAAAAATATAAAAATACACATGTTTAGCTGGGTGTGGTGGCACAGGCCTGTAATCCCAGCGCTTGGGAGGCTGAGACAGGAGGATTACCACGAGTTTGAGGCCACCCTAGACTACATTAGTGAGTTCAAGGCCAGCCTAAACTCGATAAGGAGATTTTGTCTCAAAACAAAACAAGCAAAACACAAAGCAAATTCACAGTGCTGAAGGACCCAGAATGAGAAGTATCACCTCCCAAAGGTCTGCCCCAGGAAATCCCTGTTAAAACAGCGTCATCTCCTTCCAGCCCCACGGCCCCAGGGACAAAGTGGGGCTTCACAGGCCAGCGGAGGCCACCTCCTCCCCAGAGAGTTTGGTGACCTGTTGCCTTTCTGTGTTCTCTGCCACCTAGCCCCCACAAAGGCTGCAGACTCACAAAGGGGGCTGCTGTTTGGTTCATTGGTCCGCCCCCACCCCTTACATCAGTTCGCAGCACACAGCAGACAGTGGGATAGCATCACTGGACCAGAGTCCATGGCACCCCTAATCACCCCTCCAGGGCTGAGCAGCTGAGGTGGCAGGTGAACCCCAAGTCCTGCCTCAAGGTAGTGTGGGGCCACGATCAGCAGGCTTGGAAAAGGTTTGTGCAGCCAGAGGTAACTGCAGGACCAGAACAACCTGTCTGGGTGGGCGGGGTCCAGAAGGGGGCGTGGCAACTTCTGGACACCTGCCAATCAGCCTCCTGCCCTTTGCCTTAGGGCGGTGTCCAAGCTGGCCGGGTGCAGAGGCCAGGTGGAGACCAGAAAGCTCTGGAGCATCGGGGACTGAGTGGCACTCCGTCCCTCTCTCCATGCTCAGGGCAGGGGCTACTTCATGGGCAGAGGGGCGTGGGCCCTGCCCGTCTCTCCCCAAGGGCCTCTGTGCTGCCACGGCAAGAACATAACTAAAGCTGGAGTGGGTTCCTTGAGAGCCCCGGGGCTGCCTGGATCCCTGGGCCTGGTCTGAGCCCTGGAAGCCCTCAGGGGCCTGAAAGCTTCTGAGTTGGGATAGTCAGGCCAGGGTGGGAAGCAGAAGCAAGGAGGAAGTGGTCAGAGGTCAGGCTGGGAAGGATGTGGGTCATGCCTTCGTCCCACCCCCAAAGGCAGGCACTGACCCCTGGCCCCTCCAGGCCTTCCTCCAGGGCCAGCCACACAAGCTCAGAACAGGCTGGCTCCCGCTTTCTGCACAGTGTGGTTGGGCACACCATTTTGAAGCCACCCAGGCCCATTGTTCTGTACAGAGCAGGGTCACAGGAAGTTTCTGGAGAGATACTCTGTGGTTGTGTTCTTCCCCTGGAGGCGGCCGGTGGCCTCCACACTCACACTGGCCTCCATGCCAGCCCATAGAGCTGTCCAGGGCTCGAAAGCCTTGGTGTCCCACCCAAGGATGGCACTACCATTGTGGCCTCTCCTGGACAGGCTCTCCTGTGTGCCTGCTGGCCATCCACTGAGTACCCTCAGTGGGCCATGCCCATGCCAGGCCCTGGCCAGGCCCTCTGCTCTGAAACAGCACAAGGACTCACAGGGCAACCACCCCCTTAGTCTAGCATCTAATGTCGGGCATCCGACAGACTTTGGGGGGTGGGGTGGCAGGATTCGGTACTTTGGCAGATGTGAAAGGATGTGTGGAGATGAGCCAGGCGTAGAGGGGAGTGTGCCTTCCTGCTAAGAGGAACCAGGTGCCAGGGCCCAGAAGTGAGGGAAGGTGGGTGCCCAAGGACTACAGCAGGGGAAGGCCAGGGGTGGGCACACAGCCTTTCAACCCTCCATCTGCCTGCCAACGTCACCATAAAGTTGCCCCAACTTTGAGTGGGAGTGGGCCCAGCGCTGTCGGCCAGGGCAGCTGTCCCTGAAGCCTGAGATATACACACGGGTGCCTTGGAGCCGAGGACACAGAGGCCGGGAGACAGCAGCTGAGCCTGCCCAGAGGGGCTCGAGAACGGACAGTGCCCTGAGAAGGCAGAAGCTACAGATGACGTGTGGGCCCTGCTGAGGCCTTTGGAAGCCTGGGACGACGGTGGGGGGTTGGGTGGACCCAGGGCAGAGCCAGGAGGGCAGGCAGAGGCAGAGAAATGCCCTGAACCCCAGCCTGGCTTCTGGGAGTTCTTGGGCCAGCGCTGAGATGGGCTCTTGGAGCCAGAACACAGGCTGAGGCTTGGGGCCTCTCATCCGAGCCCACCGAGTTGGAGAGCAGATCCTGCTGGAAACGCAGCAGAGGCCTTGGGGGTGCAGGGCTCTGAGCCCAGGACAGCTGAAGGAGGAGTCCACGGAGGGAGGGGCTGCAAAACCACAGGAGCCAGTGACCGGATGGGCATCTGGGGACACAGGAGAAGTGGCTTTGTCCTGCAGCCGGCAGGGCAGGCCAGGCTGTCCCGCGGGGCTGCAGTGAGGACAGAGAGGCCTCTGTGAGGGGCGCCCAGCTGGCTGGAGCCTGGATCCTCAGGGAGCCGGCTTGGTGCAGGAGAGGGCCACCTCGGCTGGTGGCTGTGGCCAAGAGACCCTCAGGGAGGCGGCCCTAGGAAGCTGGGAGGAAAAGGTGAGACTCTGGAGGGCTGCGCCCTCCCATCGCTGCCCACGAGGGCTCCTGGGGACAGCTTCTCGGTAGGGCGCCAGGCCCCACCTGTGGGAGAAGATGCGGGGGGTTGGGGCGGGAGGAAGGGCTGGTGGGCGTGGAGGCGGAAGGCGGGGCCGCGAGGATGTTGGGGGCGGGGCCTCGAGGTAGGCGGGGCCTCGGCTCTGGCTTCCAGTCCCAGCCAGGCGGTGGGGGAGGTGCCGCGCGAGCCCCAGGGCAGGAAAAAAATCAAACCAGGGCGGGCTGCCGCCCAGCCAATCCGGGAGCAGAGGGGCCCGCTTCGGCCAATGGCCGCCGCGCATGCTAATGAGGGCCTTCGCCGCGCGGAGGGCTCCATTCAAAAGTAGCCGCCATTGTCAGGCAGCTGCGCGCAGGGCCGGTCCCGCCCTCGGGCCGCGCTGGGACGGAGCCCGGCGCCCATGGCCGGGGCCGCGACGGCCGAGCGGGGTCCTGGGCCTCCCGCCGCACCCGCGCCGGGCACCGAGGGGCTGCCGCGCGCCTTCCTGCAGAGCCTGCGCACGCTGTTCGACATCCTGGACGACCGGCGGCGCGGCTACGTGCACCTGCGCGAGATCGAGTCCCGCTGGCAGGGCGCAGACGCGAACGAGCTGCCCCGCGGCGTGCTCGAGGGCCTGCGCCGCGCCGCCCCGGCTAGCGGCTATCTCACTTTTGAGCGCTTCGTGGCAGGGCTGCGCACCTCCCTGCCTGGCGCCGACGGCGGCCCGCGAGACCCCGCGCGCGGCCCGGCCCGGCCGGGGGACCCGCGCACCGTGCTGGAGCGGAAGCCCCTGCCCCTAAGCCCGCGCCCCGTGCCGCCCCGCAGCCCCGAGAGGCCTGGCGCCCCGGTCAAGGCGGCGAGCTGCCCCACCGAGCCCGCGCGGTCGCAGAGCGCGGGGCTGGAGCGGAGAACGGGCACCGACGCGGGTGAGTGCGGGACAGTGGCTGCAGGGCGGGGCAGAGAGGAGCTGCGTCCAGTCCAGCTGTGCTGGGGGCCATCGGAGGTCACTAGCACCCGTGGGCAGGAGCGTGACTCCAGAAGCCCACCAGGATCATCCTGTGCTGAGGCCAAGCAGGGCACCCGGACACTGCCCAGTGTGAGGGAGGGCACCCGCCTCCCGATCCTGCCGCACACCTGGGGACACCTGGGCCTTCAGCCTCATCTCTGTGACTGCTCAGGCAGCCATGTGTCCTTCGACAAGTCAGGGTACCCAAAACTGTCCCTGCTCAGCCTGAGAGCTCAGCCCGGAGGGCTGGGCAGGTAGGAGCTGTGGGAGGTGCCCAGAAGCACCTGGTCCTGGGCAGGGCCAGGAAGAACAAGGTGCGCGCCTGTGTGTGTGTTTGTGTGTGTGTGTGTGTGTGTGTGTGTGTGTGTGTGTGTCCCGCACCACCTTCAGGGCTGGGTCGCAGCAGATGCCACCAAGGGACAGACCATGTTCTCTGGGGACCCCCTCAGGCTCCCCTCCTAGCTTCCGTCCCGTTGGCAGGGACAGGAGACTTCTGAATGGCCCCCTGTCTGCTTCCACCCTCCTGCCCAGGGAACAGGACCTGCATTATGGCTGGGGGTGGGCACTGGCCTCTCAGAGGAGCCTGAGGCCTCCCCAGCCCCTCAGCCCATTCAGCCCTGCCAGGTGCAGCCCATCCATCAGGCAGCTGTCAGTCCCTTTGCTGCCACCTGCTGCTCTGCCAGCCTGGCCAGGCCTCTCTCCAGCCCTTTCACTGGCACTTGCAGCTGCAGGGGCCCTGGCCTCCCTGGGGAACTGATCCAGCTGCCCTGCTCCCCACTGGGGTTCCTCCTGCACCTCCCAGACCAGCCTTCCTATCCCTAGGGTGGGGGAGGCTCCTGGGTGTAGCTGGTCATCCACGAGGTGGCAGTTTGAAGTCAGCCCCACGCCCTGTGCATGACACCACTCCTGGGCAGCATTCCACCTGTGACCTGCAGGTCTCAGGCCAGACTCTGGCTACACCTTTCTCAGGCAAACCCAGCTCAGACAAGGAGTAATGCCGGCTTGAGTGACAGCTGGTGTTTGGGATGCCAAATCAGAAGCCCCAAGACCACCTCCCGCTTCTCAGTGAGGCTCCCCAGGATGAATGAGAGCTCCCGAGGTCCAGGCTTCTCCTCCTGTGGACCAGTTTCCCTTCTAGTGCATTCCCTTGCCCACTCTCCAAGCAGTGCCATGACTGTGCGCCTCCCACTGCAGCTCTGCTGGCCGTGCAGCACAGGCTGGGACATAAATGTGCTGGGCCTGCTTGGAGCCAGAACTGATGCTCCTTTGGGCCCAGCTCCGTGTCACCCCCCACTCCAGGCCGGGCCCTGGGGCGTGGCCTCAGGGTGAGCCTGGTGCAGGGGTAGAGCTGGGAGGCCGAGGGAAGGTGCCCTGGTCCACATGCACACCCCTCTGCTGAGGACAGGGAGGCTCTCACATGGGCCCCCAGCAACTTCAGGGCTGAGCTCTAGGACTCTGTGTGCGATACCTTTATGCTGCTGTCATTCCCAGGCCACCTGCACCACCCTGCACCAGGCTATGTCCACACAGCAATTTGCCTGCCCATCTCTCAGCCTCTACCCAGCAGCCTCTGAGCCCCCAAGATGTGGGGATGGGAGGTGAACACCTGGATGGATGCAGCCCTGGGGAGCTCAGGCTCTCCAAAGGGGGTGGGGGTGGAGGGGTGGGATGAACACGGGCCACCTGCCCTAGGGTGAGGATAGTCCAGACTTCCAGGTGATGCAGGTCTGCTGCCTGGGATTGGCATCAGGGGGTTGCTTGGGGGGTCTGGGATGGGCTGGGATGTTGAGTGGGAGTGGGCCCAGAGGAAACCCAGGTCCCTGCCTGCCCACTACAGGTGCTGTAGCCTGCAGGGCCCCCGAGGTGGGTGTGGGGGATGCCCGGCGGGCCCCACGGGCCCGAGCAGAACGTCGGAGGCACACGATCACCAATGGCGTGGACTGTGGCCTGGTGAGAGGGGCCAGGGCACTGAGGGGCTTTCATGTTGTCAGGAGGCTGGAGGTCAGGGAAGGGTATCTGGGACCTTGTTGGGAGCACCAGTCAGCTCTGAGACCTTGGTCTCCTGGAGAGCTGACCAAGGCCAGATAGAGAGGACCCACGAGGTCCTGAGCTTGGCCTGGCACGCCCTGCAACAGGGGGTGCCAGTCAGGGCTCAGCCACTTTTCCTGGGGAACTCGGTAGAGGGGATCCCTGTGGGGCACTGGGAGCTCACTGGTGTGTGTGCCCTGCGCCCTGGGGCTGCAGCTGAAGCAGGTGAAGGAGCTGGAGCAGGAGCAGGAGTTGCTGCTGCAGGGCCTGGAGATGATGGCGCGAGGCCGAGACTGGTACCAGCAGCAGCTGCAGCGGGTGCAGGAGCACCAGCACCAGCTGGGCCAGAGCAGAGCGGGCGCTGTGAGTGCTGGGACCGAGGTGCCTGGGGCTCCCCCTGGGCTCTGAGCAACCATGGGGGGTGCCAGCGTGGGAACCACTCATGGCCCTTCGTCCCGGCTTTTCTCCAGGACTTCGGGACTGCCGGGGGCCCCCGCCCTCTGGGCCGGCTGCTGCCCAAGGTGCAGGAGGTGGCACGGTGCCTGGGGGAGCTGCTGGCTGCCGCCTGTGCCTGCGCGGTGAGTGCCCCCTTGTCTCCTGGCACTGCGGTCCCCAAGACTGCCCCAAAGAGGTCCAGCTGACACCCCTGCCCCCCGCAGGCTCCCGGCCCAGCCCCCGCCTCATCCTCGCCCCCCAGCTGGCAGCAGCAGACCATCCTCATGCTGAAGGAGCAGAACCGGCTGCTAACCCAGGTGAGGTGCAGGCAGGGGGCTGAGGGCCAGGGCTCCAGCAGGCCCTGACCGGCCCCGCCTGCCTGTCCACCCAGGAGGTGACTGACAAGAGCGAGAGGATCACCCAGCTGGAGCAGGAGAAGTCAGCGCTCATCAAGCAGCTGTTCGAGGCTCGAGCACTCAGCCAGCAGGAGGCCGGGCCCCTGGACTCCACCTTCATCTAGTGGACGGATGGAGATGCCGCGGGTTGGGGTCCTTGAGGGGCCCCACCTACCCCTTGCAGTCTGGGCTTCCTGACCTAGATGCAAACCAGTTCTGGCCTCAGACTGCGACCTGGGTGGGGTGACAGCCCAGAGCTGCTCCTGCCATTGTCAGTAGACAGTGGGGGCCCCACCTCTGCCTCCAGATCTCAGGCATCCCTGGGGAGGGAGGGCACATTTACAGCTGCCCTGTCCCCTCCTGCTCTGACCCTGGGCTCCTGGGTCTCTAGGAAGAGCGGCCGCTCCAGGCTGCACTTCCAATCATGGCCAGAAGAGGGCGAGAAGGGAGCACTGGCCCCAGACCTGCCGCTGCCATATGCAGGGACACTGGGGCCTTGGGTACACCCAGACTTGGGGACCCAGTGCCCGGGGATGCAGGAACAGATGCCTTCCCTCAGCCAGGCCTTTAAGACACTGTCTGCGGCTCAGATGTGAACAGACTGGGGCATGAGGTGCCCTCTGAGAGGGGGCTCTGCTTGGCCTGTTGGGGGAGCCCCAGGGCGGGAAAGGAGCTGGCTGCAGCTGCACAGGCCTGGCAGGTGCTGTTGCGGGGCAGGGCTGGGCTTGCCAGGCCCTAAGAGGATACGGCTTTGGGTTTGTTTGGGTTTTTTTCTTTTTGTTTGGTTTTCTTTTCCTTGTTTTGTAGTACTGGGGATTGAACCCAAGACTTCTGCAGTGAGCTGCATCCTCAGCCCTTTTTAATTTTCATATAGGATCTCTTAAGTTCCCCAGGCTGGGCTGGAACTCGCACTCCTGCCTTTCCCTCCTAGAGTGCTGGGATACAGGCATGCACTGGCGCCTGAATTGGCTTTTTTTTTTTTTTTTTTTTCTGAGACAGAGTCTCACTCTAGCCCAGGCTGACCTTGAACTGGTTATGTAGTAGCCAGGCAGTCTCCCAGGGCTCGGCTTCCGGGTTGCTAGGATTGCAGCACTGGCCTCCATGCCTGGCTTGGGCGTGGGTTTGCATCCTCCTGGCCGGTATCAGGCTGAGTCCCACAGAGCAGTCTGCAGTAGGCCCAGCTTTAGCCTGGTGGGGGCTGCAGGTGCCAGGGTGCCCCTCCCTTGTGCCCCAGGCCTCCCCAACAGGCCCCAAGGTGAGGTGGGGGCAGAGCACACCCCGTCCTGTTCTTTCCACAGGACGAAAGATTCCAGGGTCTGGGACCTGCTCCTCCGTCCCAGGGTGGGAGAGGAAAGGGAGCCCTGGGGCACAGGAGGCAGGGGTGAGCCCTGGTAGCGGTGGGGTGGAGGAGGGGCCCCACTTGGGCTGGCCTGCTGGGTCCAGGCTTAGGCTCAGTTCCCCAAGATCCACGGTGCTGCGGAGTCACCAAAGCCCTGTGTCCGGGGCCTCTGATATGGTCCACCCACTTCCTGTTCTCAGATCTTCTCAGATAAACCTGGTGTTTCCATAGTGATGTGTTCTAGTCAAAACCACATCTGCCCTTGTGTATTTAATTTGGTTTACTCTCAGGTCCAAAGGAAAGTTTCTGCTTGCCTAATACATTTTCCAACTGTATTTATGCTTTCTGATCTTGAATTCCCGGAGTCACAGGTATCCTGAGCGAAGCCTGGCTCCCTGCTTTCCTCGGGTGTAGGGCGCCCCAGCCACCTCCAGCCTTCTGGGAGCGCCAGGGCCACCTCATCCAGCAGGTCTGCCTCGGGCTCAGGCCTGGCCCTCCCATCCTGGGACTGTGTCCCCTCTGCCCAGCAGGTCTGCAGCACCCCGCCCGTCTGTGCAGAGGGCTGGCTGACTGTCCGTGGGGCACTGCCTGGCGCAGTGCCTCTCCCACTCTAGGCTGTGCCGGCTCTGCGGCCGGCCATGTGCACTTCTGAGTAGCACGCGGAGTGGCCGGCTTCCTCCTGAGGTATGTGCCACCCTCCAGGGACCCGGTCCCTCTGGCGATGTCACAGGCCTAGAGGGGAGACTCAACACAGGGCCCCCCAGAGAGATATTCCTGAGACCGCCAGGTGACACTGGGCCTTCAGCTGAAGGGTAGCTGAAGCGAGCAGGGGAGCAGAGGTGACCTGGGAATGTGGTCTGTCTGGGCTGGTGTGTCATGCAGAGTGATGAAAATGTGTCATGGTGTGGAGCCGCACGCCTGTAATCCTAGCACTATGGGAGGCTGAGGCAGGGGGATTATGAGTTCAGGCTCTCCCTGGGCAACTTAGTGAAACCCTGTCTCAAAATTTAAAAACTAAGGGCTGGTAATATCGGTCACTGAAGGCGCTAGGCTCAATCCCTAGTGCCACACGCACACACATGTCCCCCGAGGCCATCCTGGCCCTGGAGCCCTTGAGGGAGGATCAGCACTCCTGATGCTGGGCTCAGGTAGACAGTGGCCCTTGCAGGTTCCCTCTGGGGCCGTGGCTCTGGCCACCACACCTGGGAGCGTCCCTGGCTGGGGGATGCAGGCAGAACCCCTGGCTGCCATCTCCAATGGCAAAACAGGTGAACCCTCCGCCTGACCACCAGAGAGGCCTGGGGACCTGGCTTGCTGTCCCTGGAGAGGACTCGTGGCTTTCAGGAGCCTGGCTTCACCCGGCCTCAGGGATCTGGTGTGGAGCAAACGCTAAGGATGTGAGTATTGCAGGTAAGGAAAAGCTCAGCCACGGGGGCTTCGGGATCCGCAGGGTTGGGCACAGCACATAGGGGCAGCATGCCCACGGCACATAGGAACAGCATCTTCTGTAGCTACAGAAAGCAAGCAGGCTCTTGGAAATGGGAATGAGGAACAGTTACCCTCTCATTCCATAGAGAATTAGACTGCCAAAGGTGAACTTCTAGAACAAAAATAAAATAATTGGAATGAAAAGCTCCATAAATGGAATATGAGATGGAAAATTGCAGTGCAGCTGAAAAGAGATTTGGTGCACTGAAAGAGGGCAGTCAGGAGATTGTCCCCAGGGCAGCTGAGGCCCTGGGTGCAGGCTCAGGAAGGAGGAGGAGACATTCATCTGTGGAAAGGGTTTGGAATTGTTTGGGAGAGTCAACCAGGCACTGACAAATCCCATGATGACTGAAGAGGGGGCCAGGGATGGAACTCAATGGCGCTGTGCCTGGCTGCCACACACAAGGTTCTGAGTTCGATCCCTGGTTTCACAAAAAAAAACCAAAACCCAAGATGACTGAAGAAAAATGTGGCTGGAGCTGGGTGTGGTGGTGTATGTCCAACACTCAGGAGGCTGAGGCAGGAGGATTGCAGCTAGGCTACATAGTGAGTTCAAGGCCAGCCTGAACTACAGAGGGAGACCCTGTCCTTAAAAAAAAGAAAAAAAAAAGCCAGGGATTTAGCTCAGTGGTGCCGCACCTGCCTGCCTCGAAAGTGCAAGGTCCTGAGTTCCATCCCTGGTACAAATTTTAAAAAAAAATCCTGCTGGGCATGGTGGTGCCTGCCTGTAATCCCAGCATCTGGGAGACCGAGATGGGAGGATTATAGATTCCAGTCCAGCCAGTGCAACTGAGTGACTCAAAATTTAGAAAACTGTCTCAAAATTTAAAAAAATAAAAAGGGCTGGGATATGGTCCAGTCTGAAGGTCCTGGGTTCAATCCCTGGACCACAATAGGTGGGGGGCACATTTTCTTTCATGAGATTGTAAAATAATTCAGAGATGGAAAATGAATCATCTACAAAGAAACAGCCTGCTAGGGCCCAGGCAATATAATTATCAGCCTCAAGGTCCATACCCAATGAAACTATTTTCAGCGTGAAGGCGAAATAAAGTATTTGCAAACAAAAACTGACAGCTTACCACCAAAAGAACTTCACAAAAGGAGCCTGGAGAGGAGACAGGAGGATTGGCAGGGCAGGGTGGCTCTCTGCTGGGGTCGAATAACCACACCCAGGCCCCCCACGGTCCAAAGCTTGGAGGTGCAGTGGGTGCCTGTGACAGGGAGTCTGGGGTGATTACAGGGCCACTGTCACAGCAGCTGGCCCGGTGGGAGGAGCCGCAACTCCATGACAGTGGGGCTTCTGAGTGTTAGCACAAGGCCCCAGGAGCCGCTTCTGAGACAGGCTCCACATTAGGAGCCAGTGGTAGAGTCCAGTCCTAGACGTGGGTGGAGAAGAGGCGTCCAGCAATCTGGGCAGATCTTAGGGTGTGGGAAAGCTAAGCAAACCAACAGTGCCTATTTGTGGGAGAAAAGCAGGATGGAAATAAAATACTGTCAACAATGGCACGAAGCAGGAAGGGGTGCCGAGAAACAGTCTAAGTAAGGGCTTTAATTGTTCACAAGGAGGAGAAATGTATCAGCCGCCTTTGCTTTCAAATATGTCTGTTAAAATAGAGGAACCAGTAAAATAACAGCTAGATGGTGTATGCCTCTCAAAGTGGGGGCAGAGGTGGGGTGGAAAGGGAGAAATTCAACCTGAAGAAGAAGAAAGAAATTCAGAGCAAGGCAAGGTGGTGTGCACCTGTGATCCTGGCCCTGCTGGGCTGAAGCGGGACGGCACATCTGAGCCCTGCCTGGACAAGAGCGGCTTGGCGAGACCCTGTCTCAGTGTAAAATGAAAAGGTCTGGGGATGGATCTCAGTGAGAGGCCCTGGGTGTTATCCCAGTAGAGAAAAAAAGAAAAACAATAAAATGGTAGAAGTACATCAGTGTTCACAATTCTGCACATAAACTCACTAGTTAAAAGACAAAGTTGGGGGCCGGGGATTTAGCTCAGTGGTTCCGCCATCTGCCTCGCAAGCCAAGGACCTGAGTTAGATCCCCAGTACCAAAAAAAAAGACAAAGTTGCCAGGCTGGAGTTTTTGAAATTCAGAGTTGAGTAGATCTGGAGGGTCCATACTGTGCACCGCAGAGCTGAGTACCTGCTGGCAGGAAGAGCTGACAGCCCTAAGCTGGGATCACCCAGGAGGAGCCTCAATCCATAGCTCGCCAGACTCCAGGCCCTTTCCCCAGGGGCTGCTCGGGCGGCAAATGCACAGGAGGGCGTTCTCCGCAGACCAACCTCAGTGCCCAGCCCGCTGTGGAGGGCATCAAGTGGCAGTTTCAGCAACACGTGAGAGCTGCACACAAGGCAGGGCAGGGGCGCCGAGGGGGGCCAGTGGGCCCCGCCTGCATGGAGCGGTGGTGCAGCCGAGGCTGAGGCGGGCCTCGCTGGCTGGGACGCCGTGCGCTCTCCAGGGACTAACTGTCCACATCAGCCACTAACAGTCTGGGTGGCCGGGACAGGGCACCCTGGGAGCCTGGGGCAGGAACAATGCAAGTCTGAGCCCAGCCTGATCAGAGCTTTATGGAGAACTTATCTCAAAATAAAAAATATGAAGGGCTGGGGTTGGGGCAGTCCGGTGACCACAGCAGGACACAAGTCTCAGCCACTAAGGACTTTCACCGTTGGGGCTTGGGGTGTGGGCTGGGTCACCAACAGGCAAAACCGGCAGCTGCAAGCGATGGCCGTGGTCATGTCGAGGTGTGTCCCCAACGCAGCCCCTGTGGGCGGTGGTTTGGTGACTGCTCTCAACGGATAGGCCGTTAATGGTACAGTCAGCCAGTTTCAGGGCTCCCCTGGAGACAAAGCAGTGATAACATCTCTTTCTTGGCACCTGGAGGACGACAGTAGCTTCAAGATGAAGCTGAACATCTCCTTCCCACCCACTGGCTGCCAGAAACTCAATGAGGCGGATGATGGCCGTGAACTCGGACTTTCTATGAGAAGCAGAGGTGAAGAACGGCAGGGTTCCATGGTCCGCATCAGTGGTGGGACGACAGACAAGGTTTCCCGTGAAGCAGGGCGT